ATTTAAAAAAATTAAAACAAAGGATTAAAAAAAAAAAAAAAAAAAAAGAAAATCAATGGTACAAATAGAGAGCCAAATTGTTTACCCCCTGCTGAGGCCAGCATATTTTGTCAAAGTGGTTCTAGCCTACCACCTAGAAACCATCCGTTACCAGGACTGAGAAGGCAGAAATTGGCATTTTCTTTACCACAGTCTACAAAACAGAGAGTTTTGTGTTATATGCCTACAAGATTTATTTGACATTTTAATCTATAAATACACAAGATTTCCACCAGTAAAAGCACAGGAATTTTCTCAGTGGTCATTGCCACTGCTTACATATGGAACAAAATAACATGTAGTATTGCATATGAATAAGCAAACTTTGGTTCTCTTTCTACCTGGAGAGGTCTTAAGGACCAATCTCTTGTACTTGTTAAACAATGGCTTGCAGAGGACAACAAGGCAGCTGAAGGCCACACTGAATGCTACACTCCGGAAAGCTTGGCACACTGTAGAACTTAATTAGTTTTTTGAAGGCACTTTTTTTGAGCATCATCACCTCTTCAGGCAGCCTGGAAAGAATTCTGGCATTTGCATGAGACTCCTTGTCAGTGGCTGCTGCTTTGGGGTTACATTGCTCAAGACCACCAGTCATTGGCACACTGTTGCAGCTAAGGGAACGTGCTGTCTTTTTCTTGCCTTGCACAGATAAATAACTGAATAAAAAAGAGGTTAACTTATGTTTGGTAACATTTTGGACATCTTCTGGAAAACAGTCATCTGGAGTATCCCCTTGACCTTTCACTTGTTGACTAATCACGCACATACTGGCACTCGCTTCTAGCTTCTTAGGCTGAACTACTATTTTTCTGGAAGGTGTTTTGTATTTTCCTCCATCTAGATAAAGCTGAGAAGCACTACTAATGGCATCAGAACTAGGCTTCACGATCATATTAGGGATTCTTGCCCCATCACCAGAATTGATGCAGTGCAACCCATAATTCTGGCTAACGATCTGAGCTGCAGTGTGTTGAATGATGTTCCAGTCTTGCAGAATATCTTCCCGGGTTGTGAACTGAGACGTTACAGTAAAGCGAATGATGAACTTGTCATGAATGGTTGCTGGAATAAGGAAGAGCCTGCCAGAACTGCTTAGTTCTTTCAGGAGTTTTTCTGTCAGCCAGTTGGGACCCTGTTTTAAATATGAAAAAGAAAAAAAAAATACTATTGTTAGAATTTCTAGTGACATCCAAACGTCTCTTAAGAATTCCAGTATGAGAAATTCTTACATGAAAGTTTATTCACAGTTCCTAATGCCTGGGGAGAGATCAGCTGTGGTCAATTAATTTGAAAGAGACACGCAGAAGGCCCAATCTTTACCTTTAAACGAAATACAACCAGTCCAAGATGTCTCTTGGCAGGAATTTCAAAGAGTGGATCACTTTTAACCAATGATTCAAAGAATTTGGCTGTTTCAGTACCCTATAATTAAGGAAAAAAAGTAGTTATGTATTGGTTTGTCACAAATCCACTGTAAGACACTAAATTAAGTAGTTAAAAAGAATTTCTTTCCTTACTAGAACACATCATTCCAATGCATGAATGGTAGCAAACAGAAGAATGACAACAAAGCTAAGAATTTTAAAGTCTGTCTGTTTGCCCAAACCCTTGACAATGAACAAGAGTAAGGACTACACATGGGAATTTTCTAGAAGAAGCTTTGACAACAGAACGTGCCTTCTCAGATTAGAGTCCTTTTGCGGCAACCGCTGATCCACAATATGATCCCTTGTATTTACACTCCATCAAAGACTTAAGCCTGTAGATTTTCATAGCAATGGCTTCAGCCATCCACCACAGCCTGCCTCCCAAACAGCTGCCGCTTTGCCTCAAAGAAGGCTTCTACAGACAGCACTCAGTAATGTGCAGAAGGCACCGACTTACCGACTCGCTTTCCATTGCCTATTGCTTCCAAGAAGGGTACAGGAAATGTTTTGTCTACACAGTCAATCTTTACAGATTACTTAAAGAGTAAAACGAGCACGCATTTAGCATTCCCATGCAAGCTTTGTGTGCGAGAGGATTTCTGTTACTCATCTTTGCATCACTGAATTTATTAAACTCAGCTACAAATAAATGAACGCAATACGTTTATGCTTGCATTGTTAATTCACATACATGTCGGACATGAGCTTGAAGCTTTTTCACCCCGAATGAACGAATCACAAACCACAGCTTCAAAGAACGAAATCGACGACTCAGTGGAATTTGCCAGTGCTGTGAAAACACAACAGTGTATCAACGAGTGCAAAAACAACAGAAAGGAGCCTCCCTTTACACCGCTAGGTCTGGTGCTTCAGACTCGGGTCAGGAATCTCTGTTGATGCAAATAATTTCATATTACTGAAAACCTGCTAAGCCTAGGAAATAGCCAAAGAAACGCTACGTCTACATATTTTTCAATTATTTCCAAAAATAAGATTTTGGCTATTCCCCGTAATCTATGGCCTAGATATGCTTAGAATGTTTAGTTAATTACCAGCTAATAACAAAACCTTTTTGCATTTAAAGAGCATTATCAATTTAAGATGTGTCCATTTACACTTTAGGACTGAACGCTCACTTCAGTTCCTGGAATGTGCATATTTAAGTACCATCCTGAATCTTTTCCCAAATCAACTATGAACAGCGAGAGCCGATATAGGGATAGACCCTTCCAGAGGAAGTAACACCTCTGCTGCATGGAAAAGAGTGACAAAACGTGTGAGGGCATACTTCTAGGGAGCTACACAAGTACACGCAGCGTCCTATTTAACCACAAGAGGGACTCATTGATATATTTCCCCCCTTCTCTAGTGAAAAGCACTATTGATTTCAAGAAAACAACTATCTTTTCAGGACTAGGGTGAGATCATAGCAGAAACAATTGGCAGTGAATATTCTTTTGTTTTACTGGACTGAAATCTGCTGTAAGATGGATCTAAAGTGAAATGCCTCTTAGCTCTCCTATGAATACCTTAATCTGAAGAAAAACGTAATTCATTCTACTACTGTTTCAGAGCATGGTGTTTCCATTGCTTACTCCTTTCTCTTTTCTATTCCATATCAGAAATACAAGAAAACCAGCCAAAATGCCATCAGTAGGAATTACTTCAGCAACACGATGCACAGAATGACCCTTCTAACTAAGGCGGCAACGCTGAATCCCCATCTGTGTAAAAATCTTCAGTACTTCAATCTCTATATCTGAAAGCAATTTTAGAATTAATTTTCATAACCAGGGCTCACTTCAAAGTTTTACTATTTAATCTGCATTAGGATCTCAGTATAATTGGTTTTATGCTTTTATGTTATAAGACCAGCTATAAGATAAGCACAGTCCAGAGTGTGAGGAATTTTGCATTCTGTTTGAACATTTTATAGGCAATTTAAAATATCAACTCAAATACAACTTACCATGAAATCAACAGCAGCTCCTGAATTGGGATGTCTGAGGTAGACAGGGTTAACACTGAAGGTTTGATGTAACTTGTATTTATCTTTAACCCTGTCAATTGTAGAATAAACTGTATTTAGCAAAGAATCGTGCAGAAAAAGACTTTGCAATTTGCATGTTATCCTTTTGGTGTTGTGTTTTGCCTTTACTCACCAAAATCCAGTGCAGTCAAAATGAACCATCATCCATTTAGAAGGGTTAAAAGTAAAGGAATCTGCATATTCAATTCCATCCAAGAACAATCGAAATTCAGGACACACAAATGCTGTTCCTGCATATGCAGCATCAATATGAAGCCAGAGTCCCTCAGCATCACCTGTTGGAATTGAAATGGTTGTTATGTAAGGGACATAAGGAATCAACGCGCATGCTTAATCTCTCCTCTCTGAAAACTGGGTGCAT